AGGCAAGAAAAAGAAATTAAAGGGATACAAATTGGAAAGGAAGAAATGAAACTATCCCTGTATACAGATGACATGATTCTGTATATCGGGGATCCAAAGGACTCCACCCAGAGATAATTGGAACTCATAGAAGAGTTTGTTAAAGTAGCAGGATATAAAATCAATGCACAAAAACCAACAACCTTGTAGACACAGACCATGCCAAGGCTGAGACTGAACTTCTAAAATCAATCCTATTCACAATAGCTGCAAAAAAATCAAATACCTTGGAATAAATTTACCCAAGGATATCAAAGATCTCTATGATGAGAATTACAAAACATTAAACAAAGAAATAGAGGGGCCATCACTGTGGTGTAGCAGGTAAAGCCACTACCTGCAGTGCCAACATCCCATATGGGCACCAGTTCAAGTCCTGGCTGCTCCACTTCAAATCCACCTCTCTGCTATGGCTGGAGAAAGCAGTAGAAGATGGGCCAAGTCTTCGACCCCTGCACCCACATGGGAGACCCAGAAGAACCCCCTGGCTCCTGGCTTTGGATCAGTGCAGCTCTGGCCATTGCGGCCAATTGAGGAATGAACCAGCAGATGGAAGACCTCTCTCTCTCTCTCTGCCTCTCCTTCTCTTTCTGTGTAACTCTGACTTTCAAACAAATAAATAAATCTTAAAAAAAGAAATTTAAAAAATGGAAACATTGTCCATGTTCATGGATTGAAAGGATCAATATCATCAAAAATGTCCGTTCTTCTGAAAGCAGTTTACTGATTCAATGTGATACCAATCAAAATACCAGACATTCTCAGCTATAGAAAAAGTGATTCTGAAGTTCATTTGGAAACGTGGGAGACCTTGGGTAGTTGAAGCAATTTTATACAACAAAAACAAAGCTAGAGGCATCACTCACAATAGAAGATTTCAAGACATACTGTGAGGCAATTATAATCAAAACAGCCTGATACTGGTACAAAAACTGATGGATAGACCAATGGAATAGAATAGAATCACATAAAATCAATCCAAGCATCTACACCCAACTTATATTTGACCATGGAGCTAAAACCAATCCCTGGCACAAGAACAGTCTGATCAACAAATGGTGCTGGTAAAACTCGATTTCCACATGTAGAAGTATGAAGCAAGAGCCCTACCTTACACCCTCCACAAAAATACTCTCAAAATGGATTAAAGGCCTAAATGTATGACATGATATTGTCAAATTATTAGATAACATTGGGGAAACCCTACAAGACACTGGTACAGGAAAAGAGTTGGAAAAGACCCCAAAGGTATACGCAGTCAAAGCCAAAATTAACAAATGGATTACATCAAATTGAGAAGTTCCTGTTGTGTAAAAAAGAGGTAACCAACAAAATGGGAGAAATTATTTGCAAACTATACAACTGATAAGGGATTAATATACAGAATCTACAAAGAGATCAAAAAACTCCGCAACAACAAAACAAACAGTGCAGTTAAGAGATGGGCAAAGAACTTACACAGACATTTTTCTCTTTTATTAACTTTTATTTTATTAATATAAATTTCAAAAGTACAGCTTTTGGATTACAGTGGATTTCTCCCCCATAAATTCCCCCTCACCCACAACCCTACTTTATGACCCAACCATCCAACTCCTGGGAATTTACCCAAGGGAAATGAAATCAGTAAATAGAATAGTTATCTGCACCCCCATGTTTATTGCAGCTCAATTCACAATAGCTAAGACATGGAACCAACCTAAATGCCCACCAATGGAAGACTAGATGAATAAATTATGGGATATGTACATTATGGAATACTACACAGCAGTAAAAAAATGAAATTTGGTCATTTGCAACAAAATGAATGAATCTGGAAAACATCATACTTAGTGAAATAAGCCAGTCCCAAAGGGACAAATACCATATGTTCTCCCTGATCTGCATGAATGAAAGCACCTACAACAAAATCTGCACAAGTGAAATTGATACTTCAAGAAGTTATGATTTGAGCTGCCCATGATTTGACTGTCAAGGAACAGTTTTTTTTTTTTTTCAATTTTTTTTTCTTGATACTATTTCTTGGACTTTTTACTTAACAGAGTTAATCATATGTGTATTAAGATAATTGAGGATGGATCTCAGTAAGAAATAAGTGTGGGTCTATGGAAGACAGTTTGGAGATACCTCAGAAATCTGAATATAGCCCTACCATATGACCCAGCCATCACACTCCTTTGAATTTACCCAGGGGGAATTTAATAGGCAAATAAAAGAGCTATCTGCACCTCAATGTTTATTGCAGCTCAATTCACAATAGCTAAGACATGGAATCAACCTAAATGCCCATCAACAGAAGACTGGGTAAAGAAATTATGGGATATGTACTCTATGGAATACTACACAGTGGTAAAAAAAAAAAGACATCTGGTCATTTGCAACAAAATGGAGGAATCTGGAAAACATCATGCTGAGTGATATAAGCCAGTCCTAAAGGGACAAATATCATATGTTCTTCTTGATCTGTGACAACTAACTGAACACCTAAAAGGAAACCTGTAGAAGTGAAACTGACACTATGAGAAGCAATGACTTTATCAGCCCTTGTCCTGACTGTCGAGGGATAGCTTACTATTTTATTCTTTTTAGTATTTTCTACTTCATACCATTGATTGAACTCTTTATTAACATAGATTATTCTCAGGTGTTTATAATAATTGATAGAATTAAAAAGGAGAGAATGATCCAACATGGGAAGCAGGACATACAGCAGACTCATAGAATGACAAATGCCCTAAACAGCACTCTGGCCTCAGAATCAGTCCTTAAGGCATTCAGATCTGGCTAAAAAGCCCATGAGAGCATTTCAGGCATGGCAAGCCAAGACACTCTGGCAAAAATGACATAAATGAAAGATCTCTGTGTGTGAGATCCCGGTGGAAAGAAGGGGCCATCAAAGAAGGAGCTACCTTTGTCTGAAAGGAGGAGAGAACTTCCACTTTGATTATGGCACTGTCTAAATAAGGTCAGAGTTTTTGGACTCAACAGACTTCCATAGCGTTGGCAGCTCATGACAAGAGCCTCAGGTGATCACTGATGTCATAAATAATAGTGTTAATTGTTAAAGCAACAAAAGAAGTCACTGTGCACTTGCTCCCCATGTAGGACCTCTGTCCTTAATGTGTTGTACTATGAGACTTAATGGCAAAATTAGTTTTCAAACAGTTCTTTATACTTTGTGTGTCTGTGTGGGTGTACACTGTTAAAATCTTTACTTAGTATAGAGTTGATCTTCTGTATATAAAGATAATTAAAAATGAATCTTAGTGAAGATCGGACTGGGGGAGGGAATAGGAGGTGGGATGGTTTGGGGGTGGAAGGGTGGGTATGGGGGGGAAGAATAGCTATAAACTGAAAATTGTACTTATGAAATTTATATTTATTAAATAAAAGTTTCTATAAAAAAGAGAGAGAAAGGCAAATGAACATTTAAAAACAGAAATAAGTGTGGGAATAAGAGAGGGAGGAGGAAGTTTGTAACTGTAAAGCTGTATAGTTGTGCATACATTCCTAAGGACTAACTTCCAAGGGTACTTTTTTTAAAATTTATTTTTTTTTATTTGAAAGACAGAGTTACAGAGGGGTAGAGACAGAGAGAGAGAGAGGTCTTCCATCCACTGGTTCACTCCCCAGATGGCCACAATGGCCGGAGCTGCGCTGATCCGAAGCCAGGAGCCAGGAGCTTCTTCTGGATCTCCCAAATGGGTGCAGGGACCCAAGGACTTGGGCCATCTTCTACTGCTATCCCAGGCCATAACAGAGAGCTGGATCAAAAGAGGAGCAGCTGGGACTAGAACCGGCACCCATACAGGATGCCGGAGCTTCAGGCCAGGGCTTTAACCCACTGTGCCACAGCACCGGCCCCCTAAGGGTACATTTAAAAAACTTGTCATGGGACCTCAAACCCCAGCTGAGTGATAAAAATGTCATCTTAAGTATTAAAGTGATCATATTAAGTGTTAAAGTGAACATATAGATAATATTAAGTGTTAAAATGACCATATAAATAGGATCAAGTGTGGGGTAATTATAGTAGATAGAATTAAAAGGAGAGAATGTTCCAACAGGGGAAGCAGTCCACACAGCAGACTCATAGAATTACAATTGCTTTAAGTAACACTCTGACCTCAGAATCAGCCCTTAAGGCTTTCTGATCTGACTGAAAAGACCATGAGCGCATTTCAGGCATGGAAAGCCAAGACATTGCTGCAAAAAGAATTGGTCATTCATTCTACATGAAGGATCTCTGTGAGTGAGATCCAAATGGAAAGAAGTGGCCATCGAAGGATGTACTTTTCTCTAAGGGGAGGAGAGACCTTGTACGTTGCTTATGGCCTTGTCTAAATACTGACAGAGTTTTTGCATTCAAAAGGCTTCCATAGCCTAGGCAGTTCATATCAAGAGCCTTGGGTGGTCACTGACATCATACATAAGAGTGTTAGTTGTTAAATTAACAAGAGTCACTGTGTACTAACTTCCCATGCAGGACCTCTGTTCTCAATGAGTTGTATTATGAGAGTTAAATTTTATACTTGTTCTCAAACAGTTCTTTTTGTGTGTGTGTATGTGTGTGCAAATTGTTGAAATCTTTTCTTAGTATAGAGTTGGTCTTCTATGTACAAAGTTAATTGAAAATTAATCTTAATGGAGAATGGGACCGGGAAGAGGAAGGGGGGGGGATGGGAGTGTGGGTGGGAGGGTAGCTATGGTGGGAAGAATAACTATATTCTTAAAGTTGTACATATGAGATCTGTATTCCTATAAATTTAATTAATTAATGAATTTTTTAAAAAGCTTTTAGAAAAATAAAACAAACAAACAAAATAGTACACTGGTAGTTTTCCCTTTCAGCTAAAATGTACTGCCACTAGTTTTATCACAACCCACTAATAAGTGTCTTTATACATGTGCAGTATTTTTGTACCATGTTCTCTTATTTTAAATGTGCTTTTTTTTTTTAGGATCTTTTGGCTATTGGTTATGGGCACTTTGGATTTAAAGAACAAAAAAGAGGATTGGCTTGCTGCTGGTCAATAAAGAATCCTATGGTAACCCAAACCAGAATAAGAATGATTTTTACTTGATGAAATGTTGACAAAATTCTTAGGAAGTATGCAATTTTATGTAATAATTAAACAAAGTCAAGAAAATTTGATCAATCAAGACTTTTCTTCTTTTTTTTGTTGGTTAAAATCCATAGCAATCACAATTTGTTCTTGTTGACATAAGGTAAAGGGAATTCATTCAATAAATATTTATTGAACACCTACTATTGTTGTCAGATGTGATAAAACGGAGTTGAACCATTATTGATTCTCTGATAATTTTAAAGAAAAATGAATCTGCGAAGTGAAAATTCTTTGAAAATTATTTATTTTCATGCTTAACTGTTTTTAAATAGCTGAATAGCGCTTTATCCTTGTCAGCTGACCTCTGCTCTCCTCACTAGATGTAAAATAGATTAATATGACCTTCTTACTGCCATAAATTTTTAAAGAGAATGACTAAGAATCATAACAATATTTTTTGTTTTTTGCTAAATTGAGCTAGTCAGTCTGTTACTGTAAAGTTTTACATTTAGTTTTAATTCAAAATTGCAATGTGAAGTGTAATACATAGAGAAAGGCCAGAAATAGCTAATAAAAATGATTGAAGTTTTTAAAAATAGCCCCAGTCTGTTAGGAACCTGATTTTATATAGCACAAAGAAATTTTAAATGTAGAAGGATTGATATAGGATTTATAATTAGTAGCCTATCTTCTTTACCTTGTAGGTGGTTAGAAACAAGAAAAGATTTGGTTTAGACTTCATGAAGTTATAGAACAGTGTAGCTTAGAGAATATTGAAACTTTTGTTATTCATTATTTAGAAATGATTAAATAGCCCAAGGCATCTAAAACAAAGAGTGAACAATAGGAATATATGCTAAATGGTTGGTTTGTATCTCATTACTTATTTCCAAAAGAAGGTAGATATTTGATAATCATATTCATATTAATCATGTTGAAATATTACCAAAATATTATAATTATTTTAGAAGTCCATGATGTATTTCTTAAAGTTATTGTGTGCTGAGGATTCATGGTTTCATCAAAGTAAAAGAAATGAATAATTGAGGTTTGGTTTTTGTCTATACTGGAAGACAGAAGGACAGGAGTAACTGCATGTATACTAATTCTCAAGTTCTCACTGCCACCAGACTAGTCTCCATTACCATTGTACCTTACCCTACTGTATTCTACAAAAACAAGTTTAAAATATAATTTTTTTATTCAGTGGCCAGAACGTGTTTATCAGAGTCCATGTGGAGTTACAGCTGTGGATTTTTCAATTGGAGCACCAAATCTTTTAGCAGTTGGCCTTCACAATGGTACAATTTTAATTTATAATGTGCAGAGCAACAGTAGCACTGCAGTTCTGGATAGTAGGTGAGAATCCAACAATCAGATAAACATGTAACATATGTTTTTACTGGAAACTTTATTCTAATATTTGGTTCCTAGTGATACTTGTTATTTTATAGAGAAGAACACCATTATTTGTAAAATGTTTACTAATTATTCATATGTCATTCCAGCTAAAATACTGTATCCTAATATCTTCATCATTTTCTCTGCCCAACTCCCCAGCAGTCTTCCTTCATCTTGACAGTTTATGTTTTGGTATCACCTATTCCAGGACAAATTCCTTTCTTTTGTGCATTCTGTACATTACCATAGCACAAATCACACTATATGTAAATTATTCATATATTTATAATTTGTTTCTACACACACACACACACACACACACACACGATTAATCTTCTTGAGGTGATATAAGCTCCTTAAGAGTAATGATTGAATCTTCCTTACTTTTGTAGTCTAAGTATGTTGCACATTATTGAGTATGTTACAGGAATACAATGTAAATGAGTTACATTGAGAAAACCAAAAAGTGAAAGGTGAAAGATATTCAGATTGGTTAAGATTTTGAAGTAGATCAAATACTCATGAAGTGAAAATAAGGTAATATATTTGTATCAGTGTTTAAACTTAGTTACAACTGAAAATAGTTATTAAATCAGGGGTTCTTAAACTTTGAAATTGTCTACATAATTTTGAAATCTCAATTCCTTTTGCTTGTTTCTGGACAAAAGTTCAGAATTTTTACCACATAATCAAAGATATCTATGATTTTTAAGTGTTCATAAATATTATATTTGAGTGTCTGCATGAAAAAATCAAGAGAAACAGTACTAGGAACAGAGAAACCATTAAAACCATTAAAGAGTCAGTAATCTAGGGAGTGTATTTTTTAAATTAATACGAAGAGAACACATTTTATGTATTTCATATATACAATTTAAGCACATAATAATACTTCCCACATCACTCTTCCCTACTCCTTCCTTTTGATAACATACTTTCAATTTACTTTATAATAACAGGATTAATCCTCCACTAAATAAAAAAATTCAACAAGTAGAAAGTAGTAAGGCCATTTTTCTACAGGAGTATAGATGAGGCTATAAACAATAATCAAATTTTAAGATGCCAATTTCATTCATATACATTACCTTTTTTGTACTCTATATTATTTACAATAAATCAGAGAGAACATGATATTTGCCTTTTTTTTTGGTCTGGCTTATTTCACTAAGCATAGTGCTCTACTGTTTCATTCATTTTGTTGAAAAAGACAGGATTTCATACTTTTCAAAAAAGAAGATACTTATATTAAGCATGTCGAAAATGAAGTGAAAGTTAGTACTTACACACAATTTACACTTTCTTTAAATTAAGAATGAGTGAATGGGGGCCAGTGCTGTGGCATTGCAAGTAATGCCTGCAGTGCTGGCACCCCATATGAGTACTGGTTTGAGTCCTGGCTGCGTCAGTTTCAATCCAGCTCCCTGCTAGTGCATGTGGGAAAGCAATGGAAGATGCCTCAAGTGCTTGGGCCCCTGCACCTATGTGGGAGGCCTGAAGGAAGCTCCTGGCTCCTGGATTCAGGCTGGCCCAACCCTGGCTGTTGAGGCCATTTGGGGAGTGAACCAGCAAATGGAAGATCTCTTTCTCTCTTTCTCTCTCTCTCTCTCCCCCTCACCCTCTCTCTCTCCCTCACCCTCTCTCTCTGTTACTCTGCCTTTCAAAGAAGTACATCTTTCAAAAAGTATGAGTGAATGAATGATAGTAAGAAAAGTAAATTCAGAAGAGAAATAAAATATTTACTCTTGTGTTACTCTTATGATAGCTAAAAATCATTATAGACCAGTAAAATTTTCCTTTTGTAACATAGGGAAAATAGCAATGACCAGTAGGTATCTTTCTTTCAAAGTATTTGAAGTAGACATAGAGTTTTGAACAATGGACTCATCACCAAACTCATAGAACTCATTATCCTTTAGGTAGCTGTCTTTATCACTTATACTCCAATGCCTTTAAAAATTCTATAACTAGTACTTGATGATTCTATACTTAGTATTTTCCCCTGTTTCAGTGAATCACCTCAGAAACATTTGGGACCTGTATGGCAACTACAGTGGATAGAACAAGACCGAGGAACAACAGGTGATGACAAAAGAGAAATACTAGTGTCTATATCAGCAGACGGAAGAATCTCCAAATGGGTTATTCGGAAAGGACTGGACTGCCATGGTAAAAGAACTAATCAAATTATATTTCTCTTGTTATACATTGAATTTAAATTTTCTAGTGAACCATGTGTGAAAGGATACATATTTTTGTTTGACCAATAAAAAGAAATCTGGGTTTGGTCATTGTTTTTCAAATATCTAGGTCTTCTGGTATTTGGTATTTGCCAAAGATTCCAGAAATCATAATATTTTTTGCAGAAGGAGCAGACATGATATTTTCAGTGCTTTTTCATGTGGTAAGTACCAAATTACACATGTTTTTTCTTTAAATAAAGATTTGATGAGATTGAGGCGAACTACTTCTGGCAGCAACAAAAGAGGAATAGAAAAGGAAAAGAAAGGAGAAGCCTTGATATCTCGCCAGGCTCCAGGAATGTGTTTTGCTTTTCATCCCAAGGTAAATTATCTCAACCCATTACTTACTACTGCATATAACAGTTTCCCAAGCTTGGAGTGTATTAAGAAAATGTTAGCATGCAAGTTTTGCCTTGTAAGTTTTAAAAAAATACATAGATATAACTAATGTAAATAGAATGGCAGTAGAAGGAAGATAGCTAGCTCACTTGCTCCCCTGCCTCCCATACTCTCCATGTCATTTTGCCTTTAAAATAAATTTTTAAATCTTAAAAAAATTTCTTGGGAAAAGCATTGTGGTGTAGTGGGCTAAGCTGCTGCCAGTGACACCAGCATCCCCTGTGGGCACCAGTTCATATCCTGGTTGCTTCACTTCTGATCCAGCTCCCTGCTAATGGCCTGGGAACAGCAGTGGATCATGGTCCAAGTGTTTGGGCCCCTGCACCCACGTGGGAGACCCTGATGAAGCTGCGGCTTCTGCCTAGTCCATGCTTGCCATTGCTGCCATCCAGGAAGTGAACCAGCAGATGGAAGTTCTCTGTCTCTCCCCCTCTCTCTGTAACTCTTGCTTTCAAAGTAAATAAATAAATCTTTTAAAAATAGTTTCTTCTTTTAAGTCAAAGTTTTTCATGTAGTTTTTTATGCTCTAAACCATTTATAATAATATTTTAAAAAATTTTATTAATATGAAGAGAAGATTTCATGCCTTTCATAGGTTTTATGTAGTTTTGAGACAGGATATTAAGTGTTAGCCTCTATTAAAGCAAAAGACAAATCTATAGCTTTTTCCTGCAGTAGTCTTTCATGTAGTTTCATTATTGGAAGATTGTAACAGAAGCAAAAGGACAACAGATAACTATATTGAAGGCTTATTGTTTTGGCTCTTGAATTGATTTTAATGGTTCCTGAATTGCCTAATATTCTGTTTAGTACACTTAGTAATATATCAGAAATTAGTGCATTTTGATTTTTTGTGTTGCAGGACACAAATATCTATTTGGCTGGCACTGAAGAAGGTCATATTCACAAATGTTCTTGTTCATATAATGAGCAATACCTAGATACCTACAGAGGGCATAAGGTTAGTTTTGTTATAGTAGGTATGACAAATTTGTCTTATAGTATTTTTGAAAAAATAATATCATTTTACATTGTATAGTTAACGTGACTACATTTACAGTTGCAAAGTTAAAAATACTATTTGGGCCAGAGGTTAAGAATCTGCTTGGAATGCTCACATCTCTTGGAGCTCAAGTTTAAGTCCCAGCTCTGCTTCTGGTTTGGCATCCTGGTAATGCACACCTTAGGAAGCAGCAGACGATTACTAAAGTACGTGGGTCCCTGCCACCCACAAGGAAGACCCAGACTGAGTTCCCAACTCCTGCTTCAGGTTGGCCTAGCCCCAGCTGATGTCAGTTTTGGGGGATGAATAAATGGATGGAAGAAAGCCCTCTTTCCCTCTCTGTTCCAAATAAATTTTTAAAAATAGTAAAATAAGCTTATCAATTGTTAAATTTTAAAAAAACATTAGTTTGAAGTAAGTGCTTTCTTGTAAATTAGGGCTTTTTATTTGGCTTCTTGATACCCTTGATGTTTTTTCTTGAAAATTATGGAAATCACAACCTTTATTTATTTGTAAAAATACTTTGCGAAGGAGATACCTTTCTCTGAAGGGAGGAGTGAACTTCCACTTTGACTATGGCCTTGTCTAAATAAGATCAGAGTTGGCGAACTCAAGAGGCTTCCATAGCCTTGGCAGCTCAGGACAAGAGCCTCGGGTGATTATTGATGTCATAAATCAAGAGTGTCAACTGTTAAATCAACAGCAGGAGTCACTGTGCACTTACTCCTCATGTAGGATCTCTGTCCTTAATGTGTTGTGCTATGTGAATTAGCTGTATAACTAGTACTCAAACAGTACTTTACACTTTGTTTCTGTGTGGTTGCAAACTATTGAAATCTTTACTTAGTATATACTAAATTGATCTTCTGTATATAAAGATAATTGAAAATGAATCTTGATGTGAATGGGATGGGAGAGGGAGTGGGAGATGGGATGGTTGCGGGTGGGAGGGAGGTTATGGGGGGAAAAAGCCGCTATAATCCAAAAGTTGTACTTTGGAAATTTATATTTATTAAATCAAAGTTAAAAAAAGAAAAAAATATTTTGTTTATAAAAATATCTAATCCCAAAGAAAATGGCCTTTTTGTCACATTTAGTCTTTATTTTTATGATTATAACATTCCTGCTTTATTTTCTATTTTCTTTTTTTTCCTTTTTTTTTTTTTTTTTTTTTTGACAGGCAGAGTGGACAGTGAGAGAGAGAGACAGAGAGAAAGGTCTTCCTTTGCTGTTGGTTCACCCTCCAATGGCCGCCGCGGCCAGCGCGCTGCGTCCGGCGCACCGCGCTGATCCAAAGCCAGGAGCCAGGTGCCAGGTGCTTCTCCTGGTCTCCCATGGGGTGCAGGGCCCAAGCACTTGGGCCATCCTCCACTGCACACCCGGGCAATAGCAGAGAGCTGGCCTAGAAGAGGGGCAACTGGGACAGAATCCGGCGCCCCGACTGGGACTAGAACCTGGTGTGCCGACGCCGCAAGGCGGAGGATTAGCCTATTGAGCCATGGCGCCAGCTCTTTTTTTCTTAATGTTCTTTGTTATCTTTTTAAAGTAGGTGAAATATATATGGATATTTAGTGATTTTTGTAATAATTGTATGTTTATGTTTCTATATGAGATAATTTAAGGAAGATTCAATTTATAATCTTACTCTCAGTTAAGTAATACCCACGAAAATGGATGGTGTGTAAATATTCTAGAAAAAAAGTTTAGTATTTTTAATTTGTTGGTCAAGCTTAAAATATAAGATGTTAAATATTTACGTAGGTATTTTGCTTTATTTGTCTATTTCCAGGGTCCAGTGTATAAAGTAACATGGAATCCATTTTGTCATGATGTATTCTTAAGCTGTTCAGCAGACTGGGGTGTAATGATATGGCAACAGGAGAATCTCGAGCCATTTTTGAGTTTTTATCCAACCACTTATGTTGTTTATGACGTTGCCTGGTCACCAAAATCATCTTATATATTTGCCGCTGCAAATGAGAGCAGAGTGGAGATTTGGGACCTTCACATAAGCACGTAAGTGTTAACTATTAATGATTTCTTGGTGACATTTCTAATAGGATCAGTTGAAACTAACTGATACCTGATAGTTTTGACATTGGTTAGAGAGTATTGTAGTTAGTTTAAAACAAATAGTTTATGACAGGCCTTTATGAATAAAGATAAATGTCAGGATGCTATATTAATGCTGGTTATTTATACCACATGCAGTTTTTAACATATTTGAATGAAAATAGTTTTTCAGGCCTGCACTGTGGTATAGTAGGCTAAGCCTCTGCTTAAAGGACTGGAATCCCATATGGACACAAGTTCAAGTCCTAGCTGCTCTTCTTCCAATCCAGCTCTCTGCTATGGCCTGGGAAAGCAGTTAAAGATGGCCCAAGTCCTTGGGCCTCTGCACCCATGTGGGAGACCCGGAAGAAGCTCCTGGCTCCTGACTTCAGATCAGCTCTGCTCCGGCCATTGCAGCCATCTGGGGAGGGAACCAATAGTGGAAGACCTTTATCTGTCACTCCTTGTTTTTGTAACTCTAGTTCTCAAATAAATTAAAAAAAAATAGTTTTTCTTATCTCTTCAAATTTTTACAGGCTCATGTAGGATATTCTTAGTCATTGCCTGATTTATAGAGGAATAAAGAGGCATGATTACATTTTAGCTGAAGATTCTCTATAATAAGATAAATAAAACAAAGTAATTATTTTTGCAATATTTACTTATTCTCTTACTTCATTTCAAAACATATTTAAAGGAATATGCACTTAATTAAGAATTCTGATTTAGGATGTTAATAAAGTTATTAGAAGTTCATCTATATCCATATATTCTTATGTGAAAATTTATATGATTTTGGAATAAAAGGATTACTGATTCTACTTCAATTGGAAAATATCATGTACCTGTGCTAGTTGTTAGCATAATTGTTAGCAGAAGGAATTAGGAAAATACATTCTTTTATAAAATAGCATCAATCCAGACTTCAAATATAATACAAAATAATATTTTTTAGTATGACTACTGTATAAAATTGCTACTTAAATAATCCTACTTTTTTAATTTTTAAGATATATTTGAAAAACAGTGAGACAGAGTGAGAGAGAGAGAACTTCTCTCTGTTGGGTCACTGCCCACAACAGCCAGGGCTGGTCAGGCCAAAGCTAAGAGCCTGAAACTCAATCTGGGTCTCTCATGTGCTGGCAGGGACCCAAATACTTAAGCCATTACCTGCTGTCTCCAAGGGTGTGCATTAACAGGAAGCGAGAAACAAGCAGAGCTGGGACTTGAACTGACACACTCTGATACAGCATGTTGGCATCCCAAACAGCATCTTCACCGCTAAATGCCTCAAATCTACGTCTGATTTTAATTTTTCTGGTAACATTGTGGCTTTGTATACTTCACTAGAACTATACAAGTTTTCTGCTTTTGTTTTGTGTTTTAAGGTCATAGGTGATTTCTCTGAATGATCAAGCCTGGGAAAATTTCCTGTTCAAAATATCCTTCTGCATCCAGAGGTTCATTTTGTTAGTGTACACAAGGGGTCTGTTTGATTGGGGAATCACCAAATAAGCCTAAAGCAAGAGTTACTCAAGGAAATTTACTTGTCTCAAGAAAAGGATACAGTGAAAAGGCATAGTTCTCTAAAGAAACTGCCTCCCTGAAAAGCTGTTTGCCAGTGCTTTGATAGCAAGGTTTAGAGGAGTGTCCTGGATGTACAAAGAGGAAGCTGAAGGGCCCTTTCTGCTCCAGCAGGATGTGTCTTCATGCATTGTATGTTCAAAAATCTGACTCATACTAGTTTCTTGTTAGTGGTGGTCTAGTCTCCTGCTACAATATTTCAAGATAAGTTTTCCTGGAAAATCCTCTGAAAAATTAGCTCAAGGACTTCATATTCCCTACTCATGTTCCTATTGCCTAAATCCTACACTCTTGGTTACAATTTGTATGAAAGCATTATTCTGTTAGAAGAGAAGTGTTGTTAATAAATTGTGTTAGTTAGCATGCTGCAGACAAACAGAACCAACAGAATGTAGGTATCTATGTATAGGTCTGCTCTGTATCCATATTTAAAGATATCTACTTTAAGGAATTAGCGCACACAATTATGGGTCCTACCAAGTCTGAAGTCTGCAGAACAGACTGGCAGACTACAGTTTCTGGTAGGAGTCCTGTTGTAGCTTTGAGTCCAAAGGCATTCTACAAGTGGAATCTTATTCCACTTTGGGAGAATTCAGCTTTTTTCTTGTAAGACCTCCAACAAATTGGATGAAATATATTTTATGGAGAACTATCGTCTTTATTTCATGTTCTTCTGATTTAAATGTTAATAGCATCTACAAAATATCTCCTAGCAATGTGTAAAATATTTGACTAAACAACTAGGTACTATAGCCCAACTAGGTTGACATACAAAACTAATCATCCCAAAAATTAAACTTATGAGTTCACATTTTAACTGTGAAGTACCTTTATTTACCTTATTGAAGTTAGTTCATTGAAGAAATGAAGATTTTCCATGAGTAATGTGTGAGAACCCGTTATTTTGAATTTGGAACCAGTTTAAAAAGTCCTTGATTTTAGTTACATGAAATAAAGAAAATATATCAAGCTTTTCTTAGTCTGTGTATTAAAATGATTGTTTCAATATTATAACTGAATGTATAAGTAAATATTTCATTACAGTTTGGACCCTCTGATTGTGAATGTGGCTAATCCTGGGATTAAGTTCACGACTGTTCTCTTTGCCAAACAAACTGATTGCCTTCTGGTGGGTGATAGTGATGGACAGGTCACTGTGTATGAACTGAAAAATATGCCTACTACTATGGATTCTGGCCGGGTAAGCCTCAAAACTAAAAATTTATGTCACTTTATGAATCTATTAAATTGTAATTTTGTAGTATGCTGGGGATTAAATTTCTCAAGTTTCTTACATGTAGTATAATGGAGAGAATATAAAGTTGCATGAGTTCCTACCTACTAAGCATGGGTACCTATTAGGCTTATTTTATTTCAGCTTTACTTTCTTTATCTGTAAACAATAACTAGTAAGAATGATAATATTGTGAGCATAATGATTACAGATATTTTATGAAATAATTTTACTGCATGTATTCCAAGATTTTTGATTATGATATATCAAATCATATATATAAATAATCATAATCATATTTTAGATATTTTATAATGTTCCTGAAATGAGAATTTATTTCTATTGACTTAGCATTATCCTATTTTGTTACCCTGGTCTTCAAATATCAAAATTTTTTTTTTAACTTTTATTTAATGAATATAAATTTCCAAAGTACGGCTTATGGATTACAATGGTTTCCCCCCAACAATGTCCCTCCCACCTGCAACCCTCCCCTTTCCCACTCCCTCTCCCCTTCCATTCACATCAAGATTCATTTTCAATTCTCTTTATATATAGAAGATCAGTTTAGCATACATTAAGTAAAGATTTCAACAGTTTGCTCCCACACAGAAACATAAAGTGAAAAATAATAGATGATTTTTTAAATGATGATGAAATCAGATCAGACCTATTGTCATGTTTAATCCCAGTGAGAGTCAAGTTGGGAATTGCTAATTTCTTCTTTTTTTTTTTTAACAGAAGATCAGTTTAGTATACATTAAGTAAAGATTTCAACAGTTTGCACCCACATAGAAACACAAAGTGAAATATACTGTTTGAGTACTCGTTATAGCACTTAGCACTAAGCCTCAATGTACAGCACATTAAGGACAGAGATCCCACATGAGGAGTAAGTGCACAGTGACTCCTGTTGTTGACTTTACAAATTGACACTCCTGTTTATGGCATCAGCAATCTCCCTATGCACCAGTCATGAGTTTCCAAGGCTATGGAAGCCCCTTGAGTTCTCCGACTCTTATCTAGTTTAGACAAGGTCATAGTCAAAGTGGAGGTTCTCTCCTCCCTTCAGAGAAAGGTACCTCCTTCTTTGAAGACCTGTTCTTTCCACTGGGATCTCACTCACAGAGCTCTTTCATTTAGTTTTTTTTTTTTTTCCCCAGAGTGTCCTGGCTTTCCATGCCTGAAATACTCTCATGGGCTTTTCAGCCAGATTGGAATGCCTTTAGGGCTGATTCTGAGGCCAGAGTGCCGTTTAGGACATCCGCTATTCTATGAGTCTGCTGAGTATCTCACTTCCCATGTTGGATCACTCTCCCCTTAATTTATTCTATCTGTTAGTATTAGCAGGTACTAGACTTGTTTATGTGCTCCCTTTGACTCTTAGTCCTTTCATTATGATCAACTGTGAACTGAAATTGATCACTTGGACTAGTGAGATGGCATTGGTACATGCCACCTTGATGGGATTAAATTGGAGTCCCCTGGTATGTTTCTAACTCTACCATTTGGGGCAAGTCAGCTTGAGCATGTCCCAAATTGTACATATCTTCCCTCTCTTATTCCCACTCTTATGTTTAACAGGGATCACATTTCAGTTAAATTTCAACACTTAAGAATAACTGTGTATTAATTACAGAATTAAACCAGTCATATTAAGTAGAACAGACAAAAAAAACTACTAAGAGGGATAATGTATTAAGTTGTTCATTAACAGTCAGGGCTATGCTGATCAAGTCACCATTTCTCATAGTGTTGATTTCACTTCAACAGGTTTCCTTTTTGGTGTTCAGTCAGTTGTCAGTGATCAGGGAGAACATATGGTATTTGTCCTTTTGGGACTGGCTTATTTCACTCAGCATGATGTGTTCCAGATTCCTCCATTTTGTTGCAAATGACTGGATTTCGTTGTTTCTTACTGTGGTATAGTATTCTAAAGAGTACATATCCCATAATTTCTTTATCCAGTCTACCGCTGATGGGCATTTAGGTTGGTTCCAGGTCTTGGCTATTGTGAATTGTGCTGCAATAAACATTAGGGTGCAGACAGCTTGTTTGTTTGCCAATTTAAATTCCTTTGGGTAAATTCCAAGGAGTGGGATGGCTGGGTCGAACGGTAGGGTTATATTCAGGTTTCTGAGGAATCTCCAGACTGACTTCCATAGTGGCTTACCCAGTTTGCATTCCCACCAACAGTGGGTTAGTGTCCCTTTTTCCCCACATCCTCTCCAGCATCTATTGTTGGTGGATTTCTGAATGTGAGCCATTCTAACTGGGGTGAGGTGGAACCTCATTGTGGTTTTGATTTGCATTTCCCTGATTGCTAGTGACCTTGAACATTTTTTCATGTGCCTGTTGGCCATTTGGATTTCCTCTTTTGAAAAATGTCTATTGAGGTCCTTAGCCCATCTCTTAAGTGGGTTGTTTGTTTTGTTTTTGTGGAGTTTCTTGATCTCTTTGTAGATTCTGGTTATTAACCCTTTATCTGTTGCATAGTTTGCAAATATTTTTTCCCATTCTGTCGGTTGTCTCTTCACTCTCCTGACTGTTTCTTTTGCAGTACAGAAACTTCTCAATTTGATGCAATCCCAATAGTTGATTTTGGCTTTGACTGCCTGTGCCTCCCGGGTCTTTTCCAGAAATTTTTTGCCTGTGCCAATATCTTGAAGGGTTTCTCCAATGTTCTCTAGTAACTTGATGGTGTCAGGTCGTAGATTTAGGTCTTTAATCCATGTTGAGTGGATTTTTGTGTAAGGTGTAAGGTAGGGGTCTTGCTTCATGCTTCTGCACGTGGAAATCCAGTTTTCCCAGCACCATTTATTGAATAGACTGTCCTTGCTCCAGGAATTGGTTTTAGATCCTTGATCAAATATAAATTGGCTGTAGATGTTTGGGTTGATTTCTGGTGTTTCAATTCTTTTCCATTGGTCTATCCATCTGTTTCTGTACCAGTACCATGCTGTTTTGATTACAACTGCCCTATAGTATGTCCTGAAATCTGGTATTGTGATGCCTCTGGCTTTGTTTTTGTTGTACAAGATTGCTTTAGCTATTCGAGGTCTCTTGTGCCTCCATATAAATTTCAGCACCATTTTTTCCAGATCTGAGAAGAAGGTATTCAGTATCTTGATTGGTGTCGCATTGAATCTGTGAATTGCTTTTGGGAGAATGGACATTTTGATGATGTTGATTCTTCCAATCCATGAGCATGGAAGATTTTTCCATTTCTTGGTATCCTCTTCTAGTTCTTTCTTTAAGGTTTTGTAATTTTCATCATAGAGATCTTTGATATCCTTGGTTAAGTTTATTCCAAGGTATTTGATTGTTTTTGTAGCTATTGTGAATGGGATTGATCTTAGAAGTTCTTCCTCAGCCATGGCATTGTCTGTGTATACAAAGGCTGTTGATTTTTGTGCATTGATTTTATACCCTGCTACTTTGCCAAACTCTTCTATGAGTTCCAATAGTCTCTTAGTAGAGTTCTTTGGGTCCCCTAAATAAAGAATCATGTCATCTGCAAAGAGGGATAGTTTGAGTTCTTCCTTCCCAATTTGTATCCCTTTAATTTCTTTTTCTTGCCTAATAGCTCTGGCTAGAACCTCCAGAACTATATTGAATAGTAGTGGTGAGAGTGGGCATCCCTGTCTGGTTCCAGATCTCAGTGGAAATGCTTCCAACTTTTCCCCATTCAATAGGATGTTGGCTGTGGGTTTTTCATAGATTGCTTTGATTGTATTGAGGAATGTTCCTTCCAAACCCAGTTTGCTTAGAATTTTCATCATGAACGGGTGTTGTATTTTATCAAATGCTTTCTCGGCGTCTATTGAGATAATCATATGGTTTTTCTTCTGCAGTCTGTTAATGTGGTGTATCACATTGATTGTTTTGCACACATTAAACCATCCCTGCATACCAGGGATAAATCCCACTTGGTCTGGGTGGATGATCTTTCTGATGTGTTGTTGCATTCTATTGGCAAGAATTTTATTGAGGATTTTTGCATCTATGTTCATCAGGGATATTGGTCTGTAATTCTCTTTCAATGCTGCATCTTTTTCCGGCTTAGGAATTAAGGTGATGCTGGCTTCATAGAAAGAATTTGGGAGGACTCCCTATTTTTCGATTGTTCTGAATAGTTTGAGAAGAATTGGAGTCAGTTCTTCTTTAAATGTCTGGTAGAATTCAGCAGTGAATCCATCTGGTCCTGGGCTTTTCTTTGTTGGGAGGGCCTTTATTACTGTTTCAATTTCTGTCTCAGTTATGGGTCTGTTTAGGTTTTCGATGTCTTCCTGGTTCAATTTAGGTAGGTTGCATGTGTCCAGGAATCTATCCATTTCTGATAGGTTTCCTTGTTTGCTGGCATACAAGTCCTTGTAGTAATTTCTGATGATTCTTTTTATTTCTGTGGTGTCTGTTGTTACATTTCCTTTTTCATCTCTGATTTTATTGATTTGGGTCTTTTCTCTTCTTTTTTTAGTTAGTTGGGCCAATGGGGTGTCAATTTTGTTTATTTTTTTCAAAAACCAGCTCCTCGTTTGGCTGATTTTTTGTAATTTTTTTTTTATTCAATCCTGTTGATTTCTTCTCTGATTTTAATTATTTCTCTTCTACTAGATTTGGGTCTGGTTTGTTGTAGGTTTTCTAGATCCTTGAGGTGAATTGAAAGCTCATCTATTTGGTGCCTTTCCAATTTCTTGATGTAGGCACCTATTGCTATAAACTTTCCTCTTAACACTGCTTTTGCTGCGTCCCATAAGTTTTGGTATGTTGTGCTGTTATCCTCATTTACTTCCAGAAAATTTTTGATTTCTCTTTTAATTTCTTCTATGACCCATTGTTCATTCAGGAGCATGTTGTTCAGTCTCCATGTGTTTGTGTATGCTCTAGGGATCCCTGAGTTGCTAATTTCCAACTTCATTCCTTTATGGTCTGAGAAGCTGCATGGTATGATTCTAATTCTTTTGAAT